GCTAATTTTTGTATTTTTAGTAGAGACGGGGTTTCTCCATGTTGGTCAGGCTGGTCTCGAACTCCCGACCTCAGGTGATCCGCCCGCCTCGGCCTCTCAAAGTGCTGGGATTACAGGCGTGAGTCACCGCGCCCGACCCTTGGAATACATATTTTAGACGGCTGCATTTCCTGGATAACTGTGACTTCATTAATGACAATTAAGACAATGTGAAGACTTAAGAAATAAGAGAATAGTTCTGAAAGCCAGGCACAGAAAAACCTATAGCAGAAGATGGGGGTGGGAAATGGGTAATGAGGAACATTTCAGAGTCAGAAAAATGTCAAAAGAGCATTTCTGCATAGATACTATCCAACATACAAAGGGCCTGGCCGCTATTTTAATACTTTTTTCTAATGACAGGGTCTTGCTCTGTCACATAGGCTGGAGTGTGGTGGCACAATCATAGCTCACTGCAGCCTCAACTTCCTGGGCTCACATAATCCTCTCACCGCAGCCTCTCAAGTACCTGGGACTACAGATATGTGCCACCACACACCTAGTTAATTTTTCTATTTTTTGTAGAGACGAGGTCTCACTATGTTGCATAAGTTGGTCTCTAACTCCTGGGGTCAAGTGATCTTCCTGCCTTGGCCTCCCAAAGTGCTGGGATTACAGGCGTGAGCCACCACACCTGGCCTATTTTAACACTTTTATTCCTGAGGTTTTCAACACTATTAGAAGACTTTCAGTATTTTAAAGATGGAATGTGTGGGCAAAATGTGTTTTCTTGAAATACATCTATTCTGAACACCCAAATTAATTTGAAGGTTTAATTACATTTGGGAACAGACACTGAACACACAGGCCTGATGATTCTGATTCCATAGCTGCAACACCACAGTTTGATCTGGGCAAACAGCACAGGATGTCATTCATCTCTTACCTCCTTGATAACGCGGTCAAAGGAAGATGAGACTTCTTTCTGTACATTTCCAGGTCCTAAGTCCTGGAAATCAAAATCAAAGAAAATAGAGATCTTGATGGTTTCTTTTTTTTTTTTTTTGAGACGGAGTCTCACTCTGTCACCCAGGCTGGAGTGCAGTTGCACGATCTCGGCTCACTGCAAAGCTCCACCTCTGGTTACAAGTGCTTCTCCCGCCTCAGCCTCCCAGGTAGCTGGGATTACAGGTGCTCGCCACCACGCCCTGCTAATTTTTGTATTTTTAGTAGAGAGGGAGTTTCACCATGTTAGCCAGGATGGTCTCGATCTCCTAACCTTGTGATCCCCGCCTGCCTCAGCCTCCCAAAGTGCTGGGATTACAGGCGTGAGCCACCCCGCCCAGCCGATCTTGATGGTTTTCATTTCTTTTGAGATAGGGTCTTGCTCTGTCACTCAGGCTGAGTGCAGTGATATGATCATGGATCACTGTAGTCTTGACCTCCTGTGCTCAAGTGATCCTCCCACCTCAACCTCCCAAGTAGCTAAGACTACAGAGGTGTGTGCCACCAGGCCCTGCTAATCTTTGATTTTCTGTAGAGAAGGGGTCTTACTATGTTGCCCAGGCTGGTCTCAAACTCTTAGATGCAAGTGATCCTCTCACCTTGGCCTCCAAAACTGCTGGGATTACAGGCATGAGCCACCATGCCCAGCCATCCTGATGGTTTCAAATAGAACTGTCCAAACTGGTGGCCACCCCATAGGACAACACTCACTGAGATGACTAGGAGACTGACTACTTGGCTTTTCCCCAAAAGAGGCCCCAAAAGCAATAATAACTTGCAAGGGAAAGGTCCTCATGCTTAGAAATCAGCTCCAACATACCTCACCCTTGTCACTCTCCTGGTAATGCTATAGAAAAAAAGAAAAAGGATGATTAGGATTATTACAGTGTCATGTGAGAGAAGACATAAAATGAAAACTCTACTGACAGAAAGTAAATTAGCTGAAGTTTTTTTTTTTGAAGTTTTCCTGTTTTGTTTTTTTTTTAGCTGCAAGTCTTTAGTTAACTTCTATTCCCCATTAATCAACTGGAAATATGGATCTCCAAGATAAACTTGTTGCTAAGTTTAACATATTGGTCAGTTCGAAGAAAAGCAAATGGTCATGAAAACTCTTCTTTCAAAAAAGAAAAAGGGAAGTGGCTTATGCCTGTAATCCCAGCAGTTTAGGAGGCCGAGGTGGGCAGATAACCTGAGGTCACGAGTTCAAGACTAGCCTGGCCAACATGGTGAAACCCCGTCTCTACTAAAAATACAAAAATCAGCAGAGCATTGGGGTGCACGCCTGTAATCCCAGCTATTAGGGAGGGTGGCACAAGAGAATCACTTGAACCCAGGAGGCAGAGGTTGCAGGGAGCCAAGATCACACCACTGCACTCCAGCCCGGGTGACAAGGCAAGAGTCCATCTCAAAAA